CATGTATAATATATTTTTAAGTTAATTTTTACACAACATTAGGAATGGAGGTTGGGAACAAGGACTAGGACTAAAAATAAGAACAAGAATGTTGAGGAGAATGGAGTTGAGATGATGGAAGTATTTTTGCAAGAATTGACATGATTAAAGATTCTATAGTTTTTGCAAGTATATAGAAATTAATATGTGTGCATATATATATATATATATATATATATACGTCTAAATATATTCAAATTAATGATAAATTTGATAAATTTTTTGATTGCAGATTAAATTTTAGCATTTAAATTACCGAATTGAATGATTAAATATTTTAAAAAAAAATAGAGAAGTAATTAATATAATACAAATAATTTTTTATTTGATGTAAGATTTAATAGATTCCTACTTCTTTGATCAAATTTTTATAATAGTAATTTTATTTTTTAAGAAATATGTATAAAATTTGTAGTTTGATTGTTGTTTTTTAACATTTCAATATTTATTTTTTATAAAAATTATTGATTTTTACGAAAAGATAGCTTTAAAATTTTTTTTTTAATGTATGTTTTTATTATTTCAAAAGAATATGTCAATTTTTATGAATTATTTTACTGTCAAAGCCTTTCTTTTTTGCAGTCATTTGTGTTGAACTATGAAATATCTAATTCAATTTACTAATAAACCTTTTCAAACCAATATAGCTAAATATGCATACATGACATGATTTTTTTGTTCCTTTTGTCTTTCAAATATGAATTTATATAGTACGTGCTTAATATTTTTTGTTTTGATTTTTTACTTTATGGTATCCAGAAAAAGGAAAAAAAATACAAAATCAAATGATAAAGGTTTGTGGAATCAATTTGACATATACTTTTGTAGGAATTTTCAAAAATCTGATTTTCTTCATGAAAAACGCCACATTCCGTGGGAAAAAGAGGAAATTGCTGTTTCATACGGAGAATTTTAATAAGAGCACGACGATTGGACCTAAATAATACCCATTCTCTCTCAACATAATATTTTTAGCAGTCTTCTAATTTTTACCATACTTGTCTAATTGAAGAAGGTCTAAATTCACTGAACTTGGATTCGTCCGTAACAGTATTCACATATTCTTTTCATAACCATTTCCACAGCGTCACCCACTTCATGAACTTAACAAAGAAATGGGTGAGAAGGTCAAAAGTCACTGAATTTGGATTGGTCCCAGTCAAGTTCCTCATTTTCTCTTCACCTCCCATTCCCACCGTATACAGCACCCTTAGAAACTGAATAAATGAACAGGTGGGTGAGGTAGGGGTGGATAAATAAACAGGTGGGCGGTGTAGGGGTGAATAAAAAAAAAACAGGTGGGTAGGGTAGGGGTGGAAAATTTTGTGCTTCCAGGGCCACAATAGACAGCGCCGTATGTGCGATGATGTGGGATCCGGCAGAGGGCCGCGGCGTATCCGCAGGCTCCTCGTGGATTGCGAATCTTCATCGTCCAGTCCAGTCTGTTGATGATCCATTGTGTGGTTTTCGTCGAGGGCGTTTTCCCTTCCCAATTGAACAAACGCAAGTGTGTGTATATATATATATATATATAAAGAGAGAGACACACTCACACACTTGTCGAGGTTGAAGAGCATTCGAGGTCGTTGGACCTCGTGTGCTGATCTACTGTAGAAATCCATCGTCTGTAGCGAGCTTTCGGGATAAGACTGCCTCCTTTTTCTGCTCGGCAATGCGATTGGCTTTTATGGCTTGTCTTCTAAACCACAAAAAGCCCTCAGTTGCACGCAATGGCCCATTCAATTATATGTGTATAGATATATATATATATATATAGATACATAATTTATTAGGGTATTAAAATCTAGTTATTTTGTTGAGTACCCTTCAAACCTTATAAAAAATATAATCATAGGATGTCTTTATACGTGGAAATCTATTTTGAAAGGCCATGGTTCAAAAGCTTTACCAAGGTCCATTGCTTGTTAAAGAAAAGTCCTCTTTTAAAAGTCTTGGTTTTTAAATATAGGTTAAAACCAAAAAAGATTATTTTGATGTTGGATATTGTCTTGACTTAAGAAAATTATTATTAATAAAATAGCTAAGGTTGGAAATTCACAAAGCAGAGGAAAAGTCAGTACAAAAACTTACATTCCATAGTTTAAATTTCAATGCCTCTTTTAAAAAAAAACCTTATTATTTGGATTTTGGCACTTTGGACATAAATCAACTCATAGTCCTTCAATTCAAAAATTTAGTCAAATTCCACTCTAAGTTTGAGAGACTTATAAACTACATTTAAATGTGGCTAGATTATTATAATTCTTGTTACATGTTATTATGCAAATAGTAAACTCAACACAATTTCTTATGTCTATGTTTGTGAATCATAAGTAAAATCTATGTCAAGAAGATTTCCACACCAACTACAATTTGAGTTGATTGCGTATAACACATCTTCAACCAAAAAATATAATAGACTGAGATAGTTCAAAACACATATAGAAACATTGTATTGTACAAATAGTCCAAATAGACTTTTAGATTCAAGAGCAAAGCAATAAAAATGATAAAAAATGATTGTTTCAACACCATCTTGTTGTACAATTATAGTACTCCTAAATAGTTATGGCAACTAGTTGTCTTTTTCTAAGAGACTATTTTATTACCTTGTTCTAATTTGATCTAAACTAGAGATCCAATTTTTAAATAGGTTGGATGTTTCCAATGTATGTTAGACTCTTTTGGTCAAATTTCTAACTTTTGTAAGAATTCTAATAAGATCCGGCTTAAATATTTGATTTTTAAGCAATTTTTGAATTAACTTATAAATTTGTTTTTAAAAACTACCTTCTGAAATGGATCCAATTAATAATTTAGTGAACACATTCCACCTTATTCATTCCTCTTTGAGCCTTTGAATTGATTTATCTAAATATCAATCTAACTTAGTCAGATTCCTCAAATTTTAACAATAAAAAAATTTGTTTTTGTTTTGTTTTGTTTTGTTTTTTTTTTTTTTTTTGAGATGTTTAAGATCATTTCTTTTAAAACTAAATTATAGTCATTGCAATATATATATATATATATATATATATATCCTTCTTATAATTATGTATTTTTTTAAATCAAGTTTTTTGAGTCTTAGAATATATCTATATTTTTGCTTTTTTACTTATATGATTAAAAAAAATATCTAAATCTATTGTAATTTTTAATTTGATCTATCAGAATTTTTACCTTAAAATTTGCTGTGGCCACTTTATTTTATTTATTCCAAAATTATTTTTTAGCATTTTTTCTTGTGAATTTTGTCATTTAACTAACTTGGCTTAAGTCTCAGCAGTTCTTTGAAAAACATATGTAGTGAAGTGGTAAAGATTTTTAAGACTTCCCTTTCTGATGCTTTGCTTTCAAACTCTTTCTGTCCTCTACAATGTCCCCCCCCCCAGATTATTAAAATGTTCAACTTACATTTATAACCCATTTATACAGAACAATAAAAATTGCACAACTCTTAGAAAAGTTTTATTTCCTATTAAAGTACTTGACACATATTTGTAAGTATCTTGAAAATTTTCCTTAAAATATTTCTAAGTGATAACAAACTCCACTTAGACATATTTTAACCTAATAAAAAAAACTCCACTTACACAAATTTACATGAAAATAAAAATACATGAAATAAAAATAATGAAATGTATTTTATGTATTTTACTTAGACATATTTTAACCTATTAAAAAATCCACTTAAAAATTCATGTATTTTACTTTTAGTAAGGGAATTGTAATTAAAAAGGGGTCTCAAATAAATGATCTGTTCTACAGGTATTTTCTAACACCGTAGAAATAAAAATTTACCTTATCTTTCTTTTCTACTGAAAACTTTTTAAAATCCATATTGGTAAGATTTTTAGTTTTTAAAATTTTCAATCATAAACATAAAAAATACATTGTATTGAGTAAAGCATTTCAACTTAATATGAGTGTGTGACATGTATAGAATAATTGCAAATAAAAATTTCTAAAAATTTGGTAGTATCATTAGCTAGTGTGACATTGTTTGTTTGTTTGTTTGTTTGTTTGTTTGTTGTGTTTTGTTTTTTTTGTTTTTTTGTTTTTTTTTTTGTTTTTTTTGTTTCTTTTTTGTTTCGTTTTCTCATGCACATATTACATTGTATTGGTTTAATTGGAATGGATAAGCAAACCACCAAACACTTGACAACTATTATTGTAATCTTGACATTCATTCATTCATTCATTCATTCATTCATTCAAAAAAAAAAAAAATCTTAAAAACTAATAAATTCAAATACTCAGCACAAATGGAAAACATAGTGTTCTTAAAAATTTATACATTAACTGTAGAAATGAAATACAAGTATGATATTTTTGTTATATTTTCAGTTGAAAAATATATCTTCCATCATTGATGCAAAACATTTCTATTATACACGCCACTACCACAGCTATAGTGCCCTACATAAAATAGAATACCACTTTCGACACACGCCGCCACCATAGCTAAAGTTTACTCCCGGAACATATTTCGATTGAAATTCACATGCAGCCAAGATTGACTTGAGATTTATCAGTTCTCACAACGGATGAAAGAAGATTCTGTACAGAACGCTGGCTCATGAGAATGGGATTTCAAATGCTGAAGCATTTTTATTTTTATTTTTATTGTACTTCATTTTTCTTATTTTTTTGTAATCCATGCAGCATCGAAGACATTGGAGACACCATATCATAAATGGGAAGCATATTATGGTAAAGGGCATAAGATACCCGATAAACGAAATCGAATCAAGAGATTTAATAAGAAACGACTTCGCGGTACGAATGTCTTAGGGGTGTTCATCCAAAAGGCGGCCTCGTCGATGGGTTCATCCCTCGGTCACCGTGTTCAAAGCGGGCCTAGTGCCACGAGAGCCGAGTTACGGCCATGGGCCCACCGTGATCCAGCTTCTCATCTTTCACTGGCTAAAGAGGATTATCGTGGACACTCTTGGCTATGTTTGTTTTCTTGTGCTATGTCGCTCTTCCTCTCGAACCTCCACTTCGCCCTCTGCCTTCTCGCGCCTCGCTGTGCCTTTGAGTCCTCAAGGTTCGCAATCGCCACGCCGTAGCGCGATTCGGTAAACTCGGGCGAGATTGAAAGCGTGGAAGAGGAGCCTGTGCACTTTGGTTATGTGCAGCGTTGAATGAATGCGGGGCTTGGTTATGGTGCACACAACTGCAGTATGCACGTGATGGGGCGCGCGGGTGCAGGCGCTGTATCACATCTTTGTTGTGGTTCTTCTTCTCGTTGTTCATCTTCTGCCGTCGGGCGGGAATTTTCAGTGCGCGGTTTTGAGCGTCCGGGTTGCAATTGGTTGCGTTTGCCGCTGCGCAGGGGTAGCGATGTAGCCTCGTGTCATGGCCTCAGCTGGACGGTTCCGACGCGTCGAGGGGGGAAACGGTATCCGTCCGTGTGCGCCTCCACCACAGTCCCTACGAGGATTTATGATGGAGTGGCGGAGGACCAAGAGGATTACATCAAGGCTGGTGGAGAAGAGTTGGATCTCGTGCAGCTGCAGGCCTCCAAGTCCTTTGATCAGTCCAAGATTGGGGAGAAGGTGCGTTCCCGCACGCGCTTGCGCGTGTTAGTTAATGTGTTGGTCTCACGTCACCGTTTCGTAGTAAATGCGGGGATTCTGGCCTCATTTGCTTTCTGTGTGTTTGGTTGGTAAATAGTCGAAGGAAATGATGCCTTCGTCGCTTCCTGCTTCTGACTTGTGCTTCCTGGTGTCGGACAACTTCCACTGTATCATTTGTGCACAATTGGAGTGAACTATTTAGTGAATATGTGCAGCGAGTACTATACGTCAATCGCTTTCGTGTGGGAGCTAAGATTCACCGTTGATTGTCGCAGTTACAACTTCTGGGAGACGAAACGTTAGATTTGGTAGTTGTAGGCTGCGGTCCTGCTGGAATGTGCTTGGCAGCTGAAGCAGCGAAACAGGGCCTTAATGTGGGCCTCGTAGGCCCTGACCTACCGTTCGTCAACAATTATGGTGTTTGGACTGACGAATTTGCTGGTATGATAGTGTTCTCATCAACTGGAAGTTACATCTTCATGTTCAGTTTATGAATTGGTTCGATCATACTTTGTTTAGATGCCTTCTGTAGTTAATTAACTGGAGGATAAAGACTTCTGCAATTCCAAAGCACATAGAGCACACCGAACCCTTTACACTTGTGAACAGCTATTACCTTCTATATTTTCATGACGTACTATGTTATGTTTGAAAACATCAGAGCTCGCATGCTACAAATCTCGAAACTGAGAACTTGTATTTCAGTCTCCCTCATGGCCTATTTCCATGACTAAGTAAGCTAATGTAGAGAATCAGGAGAAGGTTACGTAGGTATTTCGTCCATGACGCCGAAATGTAGTTTGATCTAGCTGCTGTTCCATTCTATTATATTTCTTTTCTTCTTCTTCTACTTCTTCCTTTCATTTAAATTTAATTTTTCTTCATCTCAGGTTTGTGGTCCTGATTGGATTTTATTTGTGACAATTATCATTTCATTGTGTAGCATTGGGCCTCGAGGACTGCATAGAGCAAACCTGGAAAGACTCAGCTATGTATATTGAAGAGGACTCGCCTATAATGATAGGGCGTGCATATGGTCGTGTGAGTCGGACTCTTCTGAGAGAAGAGCTTCTGAGGAGGTTTGTTTTTCCTTGATTTTACTTGGATGGTCTGAAATTGTTCTGCGTTGAGACGTTTATCGTCATTCTCCTCATTTATTTCATTTTTGACAATTTTGCAGCGGTACTACTAAGAAGCAATGATTTGGAATGTTGCAGGTGCGCTGAGGGAGGGGTTAGATACGTTGATTCTAAAGTTGACAGGATACTTGAAGTCGATGAGGATTTGAGTACCGTTCTATGCACCAATGGAAAAAATATCAAGAGCAGGTATTATTTATGATGTTTAGTGGAGTCAGACATTGCTGTTTCTTGTTGGTGTATGATCGTCTCTACTTCATACGTATTACTCATATTCTAGTCGCAATTGTAGAGATGTTGACTCTTCAGTTTTTTAGATGTCCTAACTATGGAAATGTGCACGTCAAATGCAGCATTTCTATTCTTTACAATAAGTTAAGTATATGGTGAAAGATCGAAGATAGCATGAACAATATTTTCTAGCGGTTTCACCGAAGTCTTTGTCGATCGCGAAGATGTTCTTTGTATTTGAGCATGACCCCATTTGTTCTTGATTGTGTTGAGTTTCCAACTTTGGTTTCTGCAATTGTACATCGGTCCTGTATGGTCGTTTTCTATCTGAAGTGGTTTATGTTGGTCAGACTTGTTACAGTCGCGTCTGGAGCAGCTGCTGGCAGGTTCTTGAGGTATGAAACGGGCGGTTTAGGAGTCGTTGTGCAAACTGCTTACGGAGTTGAGGTGGAGGTATGAAGACTCACTTATGGAGTATGATGTACCCTCTGCCTAGTTTACATATTAGAATTACGTGGTTAGCAGCATCGATTGGCTTCAGTACCCTTCTTTGTTTTTCAAGGTGTGCTTCATTGTTGACTTTGAGGTTTACATCTACAAGGTCTACGTTCTGTATTATTGCTCCGATGAACTTATAATATGCTCAATGTTGTACTATGTGCAGGTTGAACATTATCCGTACGATCCTGATTTCATGCTTTTTATGGACTATCGAGATTATAAAGGTCGAGAGAAAGGAAGTGTCAGTGCAGAAGAAGTTCCAACATTCTTGTACGCAATGCCCATTTCATGTACCCGTGTCTTCTTCGAGGTATCCTAGACCTGCTCGAGACCATGAATCCACTCGACCTCCTCTGCCTGAAATGAAAAATATGCTTACTTTCGGATTTATTTGTATGCATCTGAACGGAATCTGTTGAAATGAATTCACCAGGAAACATGTCTTGCGGCAAGACCAACCATGCCCTTCAGTGTTCTTAGGGAAAGGCTACAAGAGCGTTTTAAGAAAATGGGCATAAAAGTGCTACACATATACGAAGAGGTAAATATTAGCCTCAACACAACACATCGTCACAATCAGTATGACCTTAAATTTGAGCTCTTTACTCCGAAAAGAGTCTTGGGGACGATCATGTTACAGATTACATGCAAGCTGGACCCTTTTTTGACGAGGCAGTGGTTTTTATTGATGTCTTGCCGTGCAGGAATGGTCATATATTCCAGTGGGAAGTACCTTACCGGTGACATCGCAAAGACAATTGGGTTTTGGTGCAGCCGCAAGTATGGTTCACCCGGCCACTGGTAAGTGGTACGTCTCTGTACCTTGTCTACAAGAGGTCCTATACCACTCTCCAAGGTCTCAATTTATGTACTTGTGGACATCTTGTGTTTGGGGTTAATATTGAAAAATCCAAATATCTTGTGAAGTCACTAATCTTCAATTCTGCGGAAGAACGCAGGTTACTCAGTAGTCCGCTCTCTGTCAGAGGCTCCATCCTATGCCGCAGCCATTGCTAGGGCACTTAGACTCTCAGGCGGCAGGTCTGGCACCTTCAATTCTCAGCAAGCTGCTCTAGAAGGTATGATGCGCTTTTACCATGTGCACCTATCATATTTCGAACAGTATGTACCTCCTAATCTACTGAGTCTTTCGGGAGGTGATAGTCGAGTTACTGCGTGAGTGTTCAAGCGCGACTTAATCCATTGCATACACTCCAATGGATCAACTTATTCAGGTGGTCGACAGTAGCCATTTAACCCTGTTGATATGTCACCAGAACGAGTCCGAATTAACAACTCGGTCAAAACATTATCTCAATCCGAAGAACCTAAGAGTAGAGCGGGGAAGTAAGGTTGGGGTTCATGGTACATGTGTGTCGCTTGTGGGTAATAGACCCACAAATAGTTCAGCAAATTATATCATTTCATTAAAGTACTTCATTTTGAACCTGACAATGAAGGTGCAACTCTTTGTGCATGCGAATACACGAATAGAACACTGATCCTTGTGCATTGAGGAGTCTATGCAGTATCATCTTGTCGTTCTGAATAGTTCTATTTACATTGGCAGCATGGAATGTTTTATGGTCTGGCGAAAGGAAGAGACAGCGAGCTTTTTTCCTGTTTGGATTAGAGCTTATACTTCAACTCGACACTCCTGGTATCAAGGATTTTTTCGTGACATTTTTTCAGCTTCCTGAATGGTACGTCCATGTTTTGGGTTGACGACAAATTCGTGCACTAGAGAATCGTGGTTTCCAAGTACCGTGTCACGAGACTGAATGTTGCTTTTCTCTATGACAGGTTGTGGAAAGGATTTCTTGGCTCCAAGCTCTCATCAGTAGACCTTATTTGGTTCGCTCTTGCTACTTTCGTGATCGCTCCTAATACGTTGCGGTTCCAGCTTGTGAGGCACTTAATAGTACATCCTAGCGGAGCAAAATTAATGCAGGCGTATATTGGTCTCCTAAATTCGAGTTCTCAATCCACTGACTTGAAGCCAGTCAACTGAATATGGAAACAACTTCAATAGGCATCTCTATTTTCAGCTAGCTGCTCGAGTTTACACAGTTGTTACTGTTTTCACCTTTGCCAAAGTAGTACCGGCGGAGCTTATTTCGATGCACTATATCCTGTTCGCTTGCGTAGAAGCAGGTCCCACCCAAACAAAATGCATGGATTTCAACCCTTCACTTAGACATATATCGGAGATGAAACGTGATACCTGTTGTTTCCCATCATAAGCTACCCCTCTTACCCTTGGTGACGAATAGTAGAAGTACTTCACGAGGCTAACCAGGAACCCTCAGGTGTATCCTCACGACTGGCTCCTACTTGGTGCCACTGTTATCTTCAGCCACCGAAGGCATGTACACTTTTCAATCTTTCAGCAGTTTGTTGGATATAATCTTTTAGTATTAGCATTGATTATAGTAATTCTGTCCTCAATCTTACAAGCACTGAGCCACTGTAATTATGACAGTATTCTCTTGTTTAATTATTATCCTGGGGAATCGTTCAGCACAGAATTACTGCAAGTATATGTGCGAAGGTCTAAATAACTTTGGATAATTTGTGTCGCACCAGTGAGAAATGAAGTTGTGATTTGCCGCTCTCCACTTTTGTTGTTATGTTTTTCTGAAAATGCATCAAATTTGTGAAGTACGTGCACACGTTGTTCAGAAATTTGTGAATAAAAATAAATGTATTTATATATATTGAGTAAATCCTCAACATAGTTAGTTTATTATTATGCTTAGATTAGATGATTAGCATGTTAGAGCTTAATGAAGAGTTGACCATGGTTGATGAATTTTTCAAACTTGGATTATATATATATATATATATATATATATATATAATTTGTGAATGCAAACTTTTGGTTTTGATGAATGGTGTAATTGTATTTGCATAAGTCTCTTAAATGCTTAAATTATTAAAGAATTTACCATAATGTGTTGAATTGTCACAATTAGTAAGAATTAAATTAATAAGCAAAGATGATGTATATTAAGCATAATATACATTATTTCTTTGTTTGATTTCTTTTTATAATTTGAAATATATCTCAGTTATGATGTTTTTTAATTTTACAAATTTTATAACTACTATTTGCTTAAGAATTTATATAAATGATACACACACACACACACACATATATATATATATATATATATATATATATAATTTTTTTTATAGACATGTTTGGATATATATGCAAAAACCATATTTATTTAGATATGGATGATTTCCCACTTCTAAAGTACTTTCATGTTTTCAAATTAAAAAAAAAAATCTACTTGTTATGATAAAAGATCAAAGTTGAATATTTTATATATTAGTATTAAAAAATTATTAGAAACATATATTCTAAAATGACTGAATAAAGATGATTTATATGCATGTTATTATATAAAAAAGAAATACATACATATTGCAAAAAATAACTAGAATGTTATTTTTAATACACAAAAAAAACTTCAAAATTCTTAAATTAAGATCTTAATATAAAAAGTGATAAGATAGATGACAAAGGGCTTCTATTCTAATTTTGTACATACCAGCTACCAAAAAGACTTTGTAGAAGTATAGAATTCATCCTTCAATTCAAATTATTAGTTAGTCTTACTTAAAAGTTGCTTATAATTAATGGTGTAGTTTAGAAGTATAGTAAAAAATAAAATAAAAAATAAAATTACTATATATATATCAAATTAGAAAAAATTCTATTTATTAGGTTTTCATTTAATAAATATTAAAAGATTAAAAAGAAATTTATATTAGTAAATTTTTTATAATTATATTGATAAAAAAAATAATTTTTAGTTATTTTTTAAAAAATATGATAAGTAAGAAATAAAAAATATTAAAAAATATCAAATACTTAAGTTTTTATTTCAAATATAGTTTGATTATGAAGTCAAATTTTTGAGCTCTATTTAGTATCATGAATGGTATAAAGATTATTCTAAAGAAACTTTGAAGCCTTAGTCTCCTCCTTCTACCTTCTTCTAAAGTATTACGACCTAGATGAAACTATTTCATCTGAGTTTTTACTAGTTAATAGTTACATTAGTTTCTCCTAATACAACTGTTACTTTTTGGTAGATTTGATTGATTTTAATATCTAAAAGCCATCAAAGACATGAATTAGAAAGAACCAAAACATTAATACATTCCTTTCTTACAAGAAAAGAGTTGAAAATTATTCAAATATAATATAATATTAGATTAGAATGGTTATTGCCAAAGAAAACTAGAGACTCTTAAAATAATATTAAGGACAAGAAAGGTGTTGACAAGAGTGAAGAAGGCTTAACTCTTGTCTCTATATATACTATTTAACTATGAACTATGTAGTAATGCTTTATGGGACCTCTAAAATGTGTTCAACTTGCAAGATAGATGTCTAACTTGCAAGACAAGTTTCTTGTATGTGTGCCAAATGGCCAACTTGTACCACAAGTCAACAACATGTATGACACATGGCCAACTTGTTGGCCTTTAACTTACCAAATCACCTACAAATACATATAAAGTCAAATATGCATCTATAAAGCTTTTAGGAAGGTCTTCTATGAGATATTATCAAAATTAACCAAAATTTATCTTCTACTTAATACTTCTTATTTAGATAATTATATATGCTTATAATAAAAACATCCAAATAGAATAAAATCTTTTTGATAATAAATTATTTTTTAATAAATATTTAATAACTTGTAAAAGTTTAAAATTTATTTTTATAAAAATATTTAAAATATATTTTAATAAATCTCATTATGTTTTAATAAAAAATTTAAACCATTTTAATAATTTTTAGATTATAATATAAATAGAAGTCTATTTAATCACACTTTTGTAATCTTTTATAGCATAAAATTATTTTAAATTAACCAAAGTCGTAATAACTATATCAATTATTAAATAGTTATATTTTAAATTTGATTTTCTAAATAGTATATATAAGATTTTATTAAAAAATAAAAATAAAAATAGCTATATGAATATATTATTTTTAGTGAGTCCATAAATAAAGTTGATTTGGTATAATATATGCATATATTATATATATAAATAGAAATAAATAAATATGAAAGTATAATTTATATTTCAACATAAAGTATAAGATAGCTTCAACTAAGAATTATTTTTAATTGGTGGTACAAAGTAAGAAGAAAAGATTAAGCAATAAATATAAATATATATATATATATATATATATAAGAAAAAAAAATCAAACATGTACATATTCTAATACTTATTATAATCTGTTTATTAAATTTTACTTGATAAAAAAAAGATACAAGTAAAACATAAATCCTTATGTACATAGTTTTTTCTTTGTAATTATACAAAAATATGTAAATTTATATTATTATGATTAAGTTATGATAGTATAAGTTAGTGCATAAAAAATAAAAATAATTTGATAATTATAATACTTAAAAAATAACATGTTTAAATATTTAAGAGTTTAAGTCTCACTAACTGTCAAAACTTGTCTATAAGGTATCTTAAAGAGGCCAAAAGACCTAAGTCTTATCCAACTATCTATATTTTTTGTGATAAAATCCATATAGAACATATGCACATTCCTTCTTACTGGTATTAATCCAGCTACTGGTTATCATAATTTTTAATTTTTTAATTTTAATTTTAATTTTAATTTTTTTTTCAATCCTTCATATTGGCCTTCTAAAGTTGAAAAATATTTTTTACGAAAGTCGTAAAAAAATATTATGAAAATTCTTAAAATATTCCAATTAAAATCAAAATAATATCTAATTTTTTTTATAAGATATCTAAGTTCCTTATATCAAATGAAATCTATGGATTATTTTTTATAAAAATAAATCAAATTAAAATCAACTAAAATATCTTATTTTTTATAAAAATAAATCAAATTAAAATCAACTAAAATATCTTATTTTTTATAAAAATAAATCAAATTAAAATCAACTAAAATATCTTATTTTTTACATAATTAACTAAAAAGTTGTAAAGTTTTATTTTGATGCTTCTTCTACCTACTAATTAACATTTTTAAGTTTCTAAAAAGGATCATATGTGAGTGGTAGACCAATTAAGAGATTATGTTTATAAAATAATTATTGATTATTACAATTAAGAAAAAATATGAACCAAGTGAAATGATTACTTTTGAGACTTATCAAGTCTTTGTTTACTTTGAATCTTTTTCTAATAAGTTTCTTTTAACTTATAAGATCCAATTCTAATAAATATTTGGATTATCAAATAAACTCTTTAATCTTGAAAAAATTATATCTAATAAAATAAAGATCACATTTTAAATAAATCCACGATTTTAAATGTATTGATGGAATTCACATATATTAATATTATAAGAAAGATTTTAACTACTAGAGGATTCTACTATATTAAAATTAATACAATATTTTATCTTACTTAATTATAAAAATAAAATAAAATAATTTTTATATTATTTCATAAAATAAAAATAAAAATAAATTATAAGTATATATGTTTTTGTTTGTACCATCTTACAAGTTTTGTTTTGGTCTTAAATGATTAACTTATAAATCTTTATACTTAAATTGATTGCATATTTAGTTGTTAGTCACTTAAACTTAAGTTTTACGAAGCTTTGTTTTTTATAGACTATATTTTAAGCTCTAGATACATTTTTTAATTTTTTAATATGGCTAAAAAATAAAGTTTTTAAAACAAATCAGTTAGAAGAAGTTGGTGACAATATGCCACAAGCTTTCAATGGAATTGTGCATTGTAAAGATTATCATTGAAGACCTCAAGAAGAATCTATGCTTTCTTTAAAGTTTTACACCTAATGCAACTAATACAAGTAATCAAACTTACTTTATAGATATTCAAATCAATCTCATGATTTTTGTATCATTGAGATTGTAAGGAGCATCAAATCTTCATAATCTCCTTAGATTTTATAAATATTTTAATAAAGACCCAAATACTTATGTAGAATAGTTTGTAAAAGTATTTATCTATGATTTAGTGACTAATCAAGAATAAAATGATTTTTAATTATTTTAACAAAATTCATATATATGTGGTATAGGTCTAATATTAAGAAAACATTTATTACATGAGAGCAACTCCTTACAAACTTTTATTGTTAATTGAAGTCCATATTTATGCAACAAGCTCTTATTACTTTTATAAATATAATATAAGGACCTTCTAAAAATATCACTTCTTATTTAAGGTGATTTTGTATAGTATATATTTAACATGTTTGTAATGTCTTAAAATAAGTTGATTTTGTATAGTATGTATTCAATATGTTAGTAATGTCTTAAAAAAAGATATCATGAAACATTACTTAATTCAAGGTTTTATCATGCCTTCTACTATGTAGAATATACTAAACAAGAGACTTTGAAATTTACAAAGAAAGTATTGATTAGAAAATTTATCATATGCTTAGGAGGGCATAAGAATTAATACCTGCCTTTATATCCTTTATTTCCTTATTACATCAATGTATTAAATATAATCAAAATTTCACTTTAAGCTATTCTCAACCTTTCCATTATCCATCAATTATCTTTTGCCCTTGGTTATACAAACCTTGTATGAACAAACTTTGAATGCTTTTAAATAGTTATGAGCATGTATTTTTATATACAAATAAGTCTTGTAGTGTACCATGCATCTCCATGACACAACATTCTCAACAACTTAACCCAATACTTCATCACAAATCTTCGATGCATGATTTTGGACATCAATAAAAATGAGGCCATATCAATCAAGTGTATGTAAAATTGATAATGAGCTGAAAAACTTCCATCACAACAAGATTGAATTAGGAGATGAGCGTTAGCAGAATGATTGTATGGATGCGTTATAATGAAGTGGGGTGCCACATCAATGCGTGTCTTACATGGATGAGTCCAAAATTAATTCCATTCACATTAAGAATTTTGATTTTATTTTTTATTTTTTTTGTTGTGCGCAGGATTGGCCAAGGAGCTGAGAAGAGCAGCAAGGTGTCGCACCTTTACTTGGAGTTGCCCAGGGAGCATGGCACGAGGTCGGGTCGCAAAGCAACTACAAGTTGTCCTAAAAGTGGAGCAAGGAGTCTCGACAAGGAGTGGAACAAGGTGTTCATCTGCCGAATGAACCCAGTAAACCCAGTGTAGGTCCTGATTCACGCAAGCGGATAAAACACAGTGTTTTGCGGCCGTCAGCAATGGTTGAATTCCCAGCGCCTGTTTGCATCTGAGATGTATCCAGAGCACCATGGTTCCCTCCCCAGCCCATGGTTGCATTCCAGTCCGTGTTGTCAGCGCTAATACAGCTTGAGGCGCAATCTCTCGTCGTCCGATTCTGTAAGTGATATTGAGGTTGCACCCGTTTTAGTTGTTGTGTGTTCTTTGCAGGTTAAACAAGCGCCTCATCCGCTCTTATTCTAATTGTTGTGTTATGCTGTTGAAGCCGAGGCGCTTAACCAAGGCGAGCTTGTTGAGGGCTGCAAGAAGATTGGTGCGAACGCCAACTCAAACCTAGTTTGTGTAGATTAACTTTCGAGGTCCGTGCGCTTGTGCTCTGCGGTTATTCGGAGGTGGCGGTGACGCTATCGAGGTGCAAGGTCAGTAGGCGAGGAGACATGGACAAACCTGGACATAGCAAGAGCAAGAAGTCACGTCGTGACAGCTGTGTGTTTTTCGAGCTTTCTCGTCATAGATATAGATAATTGGTTGGTGTCAAAATGGGCAGAGATCCAGTTTGGTCACATGATGCTCTTGTAGAGCCTGTTGGGGCGACTTGTAGCCAACAGGTCGGAATTGGGAGCATCTGCTCTGGGATTCGGGCTCGTGAACACGAATTGCATTTTAGTCTTTCTAACAGCATAATGGTATTCAAATATTTTAATGATATTGAAAAACCAAATTGGCTGCCTATCATACTGGAAGTGCCGGAATTAGCATTCGCAACTTACCGACATCATGAAGTATGCTTCATGTCGCTCTACGAATTAGTTGAGTTTTGTGCTTCAATTGTAGAATTAGTCTTAGCTACTTGTTCAGGATGATCGGCGGAATGACGTGGCGTGTAGATTGGTCGCTTGAGAAGTCAAATTTCTTTAGCATAGCAAGTCATGTTTATTGTTGCTGTTGCTATCCATCTTTTTAGCTAGATTACGTCATGTCCTGTCGCTTTTTTCAACCAGGCTGAGGCTCAATCTCCATCTCATGACGGCAATCGGTCAATAGATTGTACTTTGTTTCGACGCTTGCTGGATGTTTTGATGTTTGCTGGTAAGTCATCATCTCATTGTGTGTCTAGTTGTAGTGGAATCGTAGTTTGTGGTTTGACCACAACTTAGCCTCATAAACGTGTGTCGATGCAACTCTATTAGGCGATTTGTATCAGAAAACTAAAATTTTATTCGAAGACGACTTGGGGTTGTGTGTTTTTTAAGCCGGCAAGAATTTCATGTGGGATCATTCTATGGTGATGTCGAAAACTCAGTCGCTCTTATGGCAATGCTCTGTCAATTCTTGCAGATTTTTCGAAGAGATGACCTCGAGGCCTCAATAAGGATTCTAAAAAGTTTGAACAGGCCATGAATGAACTGAAGCATGTGCTGGCTGGATCGCGACGGCGTTCTCCACTTGCGACAAGCGAAGAAGAGTGCAAAGCAAAAGCACGCGAGGTGGAAGGTATACAGTTGTCATGCACTTGCTTCAGCAAATAAAGTGATGCATGTGCAGGTGTGGCAGTATTTTTTTGTTGTGGTGGATTCTAGATTTCTGGATCCAGTGACTAGTCGCAGCGCTTCCGCCGCGAAGACGCCGCTTTTGACGACGATTCAGCTCCTGCGACATAAACAGCTGTAGATGCCATCCTGCAATGCGAATTGGACATGAAAACTAAAAATCTTATTCGGGGACAACTTCGGGTTGCATACTTTCTAACAGTTTGGCAAGACAGCAGACCCCCTTTTACAAAAATATGCGCCACAATATTGTCCTTGATTTCCACTTAATGATCTTGAGCTTGATAGAAATCTAACTTATGATGACATATTTTTATAAAATATGAGCCTCTGACTCGCCTTGGCCTTCTGGTTACGAGCACATGAACCTTCTTATATTAGTGTTTTAAGACTTGAAGGTAGCAGCTTAATCTCCACCATTAAATTCCAAAGAGCCTAAACCTAACTCAATTGTTCTAAAATATTTAAGAATCAAAATCCAAGATCAAAGCTAATGACCATCAAATGAGCCATAAAAATGCTTTTTAGGACAATATAAAAATGCTTCTAAACACACATTTTCCAATAAAAATTGACTATTCATTTAACTTGGTCTATTTAAAATGGTAACATTTATGAATATCATAAGTATAAAAATTTTGAATAAAATAAAATCACTTCTAAATTACTATACTAAGTTGCTTATAAATTACTTATGGCATCATTGTTGCCACAATTGGATTAACTAAATGCTAAAAGTAAGAAAAGATAATAAAAAAAAAAAGAAAAGAAAAAGAAGTTAGAACTAAAAATTTTATATACTAAATCCATCATTTCTACCTACATCACTTTTTTTTTTTTTTTTTTTTTTTTTTTTTTTATTTCACATATTAATATTGCCAATATCATTTGTTGATACTCAATTTTGCATACCAATATTGTTTGCTAGATTTTGCTCTCTTGCTAAAAAAGCACTAAAAACATGTATAGTGATGGCATATTCATCTTGAGACTTTGCAAGTTCTAATTTTCTAGATACAACAAAATGATTCCTTGTCAAGACCTTCATCCACAATTTGATTATTACATGCTTTTTTTTGGCAAAAGATATTATAATCACACTCAAATAAAGAATGTTCTTGATATAATTTCTTACATATTTTTTCTTGTAAATTAACTACATATTTTTGAGGTATACATGTAGAAGTAATACCACCAATTTTTTAATATTAGTCCAAGTATTTGTATATTTTTCTTTTTTTCTACTATAATATAATGCTTACTACATCTTTTTAGACTTGACAAATTGTACATTTTTTGTCATGGTAGATTTTATATTTTCAAGGATGTTTATTTATATTTTCCAAAAAAAATATAAATAAATAAACTTTGGCATTTAGAAACATGTTTGGAATAATAATTATTTAGGCTACTTCCTCTTCTATAAAAAAAATCATGCAATTCCAAAGAATGTGGTTTCTATATTATTTCTTTATTTTCTCTAAGACCCCTCTATAATACAATTCATCCTAATCACCAATAAAACAATAAAAAAATAAAAATGAGTAGTTAATAAAAGAAAATCCAATCTCATACAACAATCACATTTAATACTTGTTCAATATAATAATAATCAAAAGTGAGTAATAATATAATAGATACAAGTAGCATATTATTATCTTTTAGAGTCAAGATGAATATTTTTTTGTCTTCTAAGTGTAATTAAGAAGATCAGCAAAGTTTGATGAATGTTATTTAATAATCTCTTTAGCAATTTTTAATATAAAAAAGAATTATGAAAGCTTGCAATCAACATCAATTTTAATATTATGGTTTATCTCTTTCTTAATGATAATGTACAACAAATTTAATCAATTACCTATTTGCAAGTGTTTCCACCTTTAATTTGTGCCTTAAGTTGTAAACGTCTCAATACATTGTTATGCAATGACATTGGAAGCAACACTAGCATTCAATAATATAGTTGTAAACTGCTTTTGATTAGCATCCATTCTTTTTTTAAAAAATAGATTACAATATGCCAAATTAAATTACAAGACTAATAAGCATTCACAATATTATCAATCTAACTAGAATATATGGTTTAATTTCTCTAAAGAATAACTGAAAAGAAATAATCTATTCTTACATTGGTTGTAACATTTAAATAATATTTTTTATCATTACAAGCCTTTTATTATAATTATAAACATAATCACAATTTTTTTTTTTTTTTTATTAAAAATAAAGAAATCAAAAGAATTTCTTTTTTTACTAATAATAATATCTAAAATATGTACAAAAGCATTGATTTAATACAAATTTATAATTACAAACAATCTTCTAGAAGTTAATACCTTTTTAGATTCAAATTAGACAAAAACGATAGAAACTTAAAGTGCAAAAACTATAGAGATTGTAACAAGTTGATAATATTAGTGTCCAAATTCTAGCACTAGTAGATGATATTGACAATGACAATTGAGAATGAAAGTAGTGTAGATAAGAATGAAAAATTTGATAATATTAGTGTCCAAATTCTAGCACTAGTAGATGATATTGACAATGACAATTGAGAATGAAAGTAGTGTAGATAAGAATGAAAAATTTAATAGATAAAATTTATATTTGATTAGAAAAAAAATAATTTTATACTTTTGTATATAACATTTTTGGATAGTAATATAACTAATATATGTATATATTATATACATTGGCAATGAAAATTGAAAATAAAATAATATTCAATAATAGAATTAATAAAAGACAAATATAAGGATTATATTATAGAAGAGATTTTTAAAAAATATAGTAGAAAATCACTTTAAAAGTATATGTAAAGGTAAGAAAATAGTACTATTTTTGGTAAAATAGATTTTATTTAATTTTTAATACTATAAATAAGATTAAAAAAAGTAGATTAAAAAAATTATAGATATATTTAGGTGAAAATAAAAATTATCTAATAACAAAAACTATCTCAAAAAACCTTAGATTGATACTTGAAGAAGACTAATTTTTAACAAGAGTTGAAACCAAACTTTAAGGCACAAAAAATTTGCATCCATGAAAAATTTGAGATTTTATTTATTGATTAGAAAGAGAAGTAAGAAAAAATAAAATAAAAATAAAAAATAAAAAACATGATAGAAATTTTTTGAGTATTGGTTTCAAAGTGTTTGAATTAGTAATGAGTTTTGTGAGAGCTTTGAAAGTCAAGGTTGTTTTGGATAACTTCATTTTATAGAGAATGAAATAAAGTTTATCTTTTTGTATACTATATTAATTTTAGAGTAGAACTATAGATAAAAACTTATAGAATTATCAGTATGATTGTCTCAAATAGGTTTTATAAAATTAAATTTAATTGGAAAATTATATAATTTATCATTAAAAATTCAAGTAGGTTAAAATGTAAAAAATTAGTTTTTAAAGGTTAGTGAAGGTTTCTACAAATTTAAAAAAATTGTTAGTTGGATTAAAATTAATTTTTTAGTGGTAATAGTTGATTTAATTTTTATATTTATGCAAATTTTAAGAGTAAGAAAATAGTACAAAAGATAATTTTTAACAATAGAAGATTGACATAAAGATTAGGAAAAGAAGATGGCCTATATTTAAGTAAATTAGAAGTATTTTCTTTAAATTTGTAAATATAGTTGTTTAAAAAATTTGTGTGATACTTTTCAATTAATAGATTAAAAATTATAATTTTATAAATAATATTAAATAATATAATTAATAACTATTAAGGTTTTAAATTTTTTATAGAATTTATATATAATTGAATTTGGATTTATTAATATTTTTAAGGTTTTATTTATATTTATTTAATATTGGTTACAATATACTTGAGATTTGATGAAGATTAGCTACAATTTACTCAAAATTTTATTAGAATTTAGTTAACATTTAATTAAAAAAAGCTAAGATTTAGTTAGGATCTCTTTATGATTTATTTGATATTAGTCAAGATTTTATTAGGATTTAAATAGGATATTTAAGATTTATTTAGAATTGATTAGAGTATAGCATGATATTTTTAGGATTTTTTAAGAGCAACAGGGAATACTTAATATAATTATAAGCTTACTAATATTATTCAAAATTTTTGAAAAGATATTTTTAAACAACATGTGAATTATTTTGAATTGTAAAGTTAAAATTTACTATAAAATGTCACAAATATACATATTTATTCTAATAATTACTTGTATAGTATGAAGAGTAAGTAAAAATAAATAACTTAATAATATCTTGAGGAAAAGCTATTTAGAAGCATAATAGACTCAACTTTGTCTTTATACGTGTCTATAAGTGATTGATAGGTTGAAAACTTAGTTAACAAGTTGGCCATGTATTGCACATATTGACCACTTGTGGCACAAGTTAAACATATGGTACACATTTAGGAAGCTTGTTCAAAATCAATGTCAACGCTAGGGATGCATGGTCATTTTGGTGCGGTGGCCCAATTGCATGCGCTCAAAATAGCAGCATGCTATTGGAGCCCCATGATGGTCCAATCCTTGGGCGGGATGATTATTAATTTATTAATTAATTTATTTTTTATGGGTAGTCCTTGAGTGATCAGGGCTTGGTGTGATGGGCTTGGTGTGATGATTTGCCTTCTGATGTGTTAAATAATCCATGAAATTGTACGACACTATCTGCTTTCCAATTTCAGATGTTTATCACACATGGCTATCCTAAAAATTGTTGTTTGTAATGCTTTAAAACATCCACAACATACAAATCCTATTGCGATATGCAAAAACACTTTGTATCACAAAAAGATAGAGAAACAAAAACATAAAAATATTAATTATATGAAAAAATTAAAGTTGATATGAAGTATGGTAAAATGAAACAACATTTATATGAGAGATAAAAATTAACTAAATAATATCAAAACCTTTAATACAAAGTTAAAATAAGCATGTGTAATTTAATTCAAAAAAATTATTATTTTATTTTTTCACATGTATATATATATATATATATATCTATATATCTCTTTTTTCTTTCTAATAATTATATATATGCTTATTTTAAAAATTCTTCTTACAATGAGTCTGAGACTGTTTTTCCACTATCTATGGTTTTATCTTTTTTACACACTTTTTGAATTCCATGGTTATTAAAAAAAAGTAAAAATAAAAATAAAAATCATGATTTAGATGTATATATCTTTGTTAAGTCATTTGTCTAAAAATAGTAATTCAACTGTGTAAACACATATTATTCTAATTTTTGCAAGAATCATTAAAATACATCATAATATATGTCTTGTAATATATATATATTTTTTCAGAAATTGATATTAAAAGAAAATAAATTGAAAATTTTCCACTCAAAAGTATTTGTTTTCCCAATTTGAGTATATTATGTTTATATATATATATTTAAATTAAATAATTATTATTTTAGAAATATCTTATTTTAAAATATTTTTTTAATAAGATTTAATACAATTGTAAAATTTTAATGCAAAATTTTTAAAAGTTAAAAATGTCTTTCCTGTACTATGCTATTTATTTTCATTTTATTTTGTCTATTTTTCATTTGACACACTCATAAAATTTTTTAATTGTACTATGATACCAATTAGAAAAATTCTTGCTCTAAAAATGTTTAAAATAAAATTTTTACTTGAATCAATCCAATTTTTGTATGTAAGACCAATATTTTTACTAGAAACTAAATTTAGCTTTAAAATCTATTCATTTACTTATATTCTTAATTAGCTTATATAAAACTAGTGAAAACTTGTGCCATCGGCCATGAAAAAGTTGTAAAAGTATAATTTGTAGTTGCTAAGTCAAAAATTGATCATTCTTAAAGAAATGTTGATTAAGAAAAGACAAGAAAGAAAGAAAAGAAAAGAAAAGAAGAAAAAAAATAATTAGTGCATTACAATAGAACCATTTATGTTTCTGTAATGTAATTGAAAAACATAATTTTTATTTACTACAACTACTGAAATAACTAAGTTAAAGGAATTTTGAATTAAACTACAATTATGGTGGTGTGCGATTCCTCGGAGGTGTCAAGGTCGTTAAGTGTAACTGAGACGAAGACTCCTGATCAAATAAAGCGATTGAAGACTGTTCGATGGAGTAAGCGCTCGAAGGCTCCTGAACGTCATTTCGGGTGTGTCCGTTTTGCTGTTGATGATGGCCTACAGTTCAAGTCCTATGCGCCAGCAACGTATTCAGGAATCAAGCTAAGCGTTCATTATGATGTCGTCAAGACGATAGAGTGTAAGTGTAGAGAAATGGCAAGAATGCAGAGCAAGCGCATTGCGAGATGTGAAGAATGCTCTAGATTAGTCGAATTTCCTTCTGGTCTTTTCACGGATTCGAACGGGAAGCTGGAAATTCTGCCTGATAAACAAAAGATTTTGAAGGATTACTTACGCAATGACGTGTAAAGAATATCCGAGACCCACCGAAAAATTCACGTAAGTTAGATGATGCTCTACGAATTCGATGCATTTCTGTTTCGATGGTCGCATTAGACATAGCTACCTGCTCAGGATGATCGGCGGAATGAAGTGCTGCGTACGTTGGTCATTTAGATAATCCAATTTCTCAATCCGAGCAAGTCATGTTCATCACTTCTATTCTTACCCAACTGTTCAGCTACAACATACCATGTCTTGTCGCTTCTTAGGACCAGGTTGCGGAGCCTAAGCGTTCGTCACATGACGCCACTCCGTCAAGGAATGATGCCTCGCAGAAGGGCCCGGTCGCTGGTAAGTCATCATCTCATTGTGCGTCTTGTTCTAGTGGAATCGTGGTTTGTTGTTTGACGAGAAATCGGGTTGTGTCGCATAAAACGTCTCTCGATGCGACTCTGCAACGCGAGTTGCGTCAGAAAACAAAAAATCTACTCGGAGACGATGTGGGGTTGTGTGTTTTTTATAACCCGGTGAAAGTTTTAGGTGGAATCATTCCGAAGTGATGTCAATAACTGTGCCGTCCTTGCAGAATGTTCCGAGGTGTCGCCTCCTAGCCGTGGTAAGGGTGCTGACGATTTTCGAAAGGCTGTGGTTTATCTGAAGGAGTATTCGGATGAACCTGCATTTCGCAACAAACTTGCGGTATGCGAAGAAGAGTACAATGCAATGGAACGCAAGCTGGAAGGTACACATTTATTACGCATTTGGGGATGTGGCGGTATTTCTTGGTTGTGGTGGGATTGAGAGCAATCCAACGTGTGTAGTCGCAGCGCTTTCGCTGCATAGACGCCGCTTTTGACGACGATTCAGCCTCTGCCGTATAAACATCAGGGGACGCCACTCTGCAGTGCGAGTTGTATCAGAGACACAATATTATATTCGAAGACGTCTTGGGGTTGTATCTTGTCTAAGTTGGCGAGATTTTTATGTTAAAAGCATTCAGAGGTGATGTAAGAAACTATTTCGTCCTTTCATTATGATGTTCAGTCATTCCTGCGGAGCGTTTTGAGAAGCCGCCTCCAAGCTGTAGTCAGGATCATCACAAGTTTCGAGGAGCTATGAATGAACTGAAGGATATGGTTGGTGGAAATGTATATCGATATGTACTCGATGCATGCGAAAAAGCGTATTATGCAAAAGCACGCGAGGTGGAAGGTGAGCAGTTGTTACGAACTTGCTTTAGAAAATAAAGTTATACATGTGGAGGTGTGGCGGTATTTCTAAGTTGTGTTGGCTTGAGAGTTCGCGATCCAGTGTATGTAGTCGCAGCGCTTTCGCTGCGCAAACACCGCCTTTGACGAAAATTCAGCTTCTGCCGCATAAACGTCTGGGGGTGCCACTCTGCTATGGGAGTTGAATCAGAAAACCAAAATTCAATGTGATGACGACTAGGGGTAGTGTGTTTCTAATCTGGGAAGAATTTTGTGTAGAATCATTTCGTGTTGATGTTGGAATCTGTGCCGTTCTTCCATTGTAATGATGTGTCATTCCTGCAGATCGTTTCAAGGTGCCGCCTTCTAGCGACACTGAGGATGCTCTCAAGTCACTAGGAAGCGGAGTACAGAAAGTGAAGGAATTGGCGCCGACGATAACACCTGGAAGTCGCGAAAATGTTGAGAGAATGGAAGAAGCGGTGAGTGGAATATCACGCAAGGTGAAAGGTGAGCAGTTGTTACCAACTTGCTTCAGCAAATGTTATGTACGAGTGCGGGTGTGGCGGTATATCTTAGGTGTGATGGATTTGGAAGTTCGCGATCAGATGTCTGCATTCGCTGACGCATTGTTGAAATCCAACTCATACTTTTACTACCCGAAATGTTGAGTTGGTTGTTTTTCATTCACCAGATGACGACGATTCATTTTATGATGAGGTTGGGGATATGGAAACTCTTAAGCCGGGTGAAGTGGTTCGAACTGAACCCAGCGAGAATCTTACGATAGTGAGTGGTCATTGGTGATTTGTTTCTGGTTTCAATGCGTGGCTATTTGAATAGTTTTTAGTGTAAAAAATGTGGAATGACCTGTTCTCGTAAAACATGTGCTTCTTATCGTGCTGTGTGGAGTATGCAATGATTTTTCATAGAGAGCTCAGTTGTGAATAAAAGATAAAATTGAGCTTGATGAAATCAGTTTTTGAGAGCTTTTGCACGTTGTCAATGCCCTGACAGGATTTTCGGGATGGCACATGTGCAGACGAGATACCACCTGCTCCTTTACCGAAGCTCTCTGCAAGCAATGGTCCAGAGGATGATTCGTGGAAGAACAGGCGGTCCTGTCAGCCGCGTTCCTCGGACTTTGGTGCCATGGAATACAGTGTGGTAAGCGGGCTGTGTTTATGCTTTGTATGAGGATTTTGAATACAAAATAGTCATATGGACATCTAAGCACGAATTGATGCCATCTTTGTCCTTGACATGTGCAGCGTGCAGAAGATTGCTTTGACTCCCAATACCCCAAAGATCTGGCAGAGGTACCCGAGTGCTATCCCAGTCCTAATACTCTCATGCAAACTGAAGACCAATTTCAAGGTATGTCTTTGTTTGGTGCTTTTATGAATGATGCAGTTGTGGTAGTGGGATAAAGTGGAGGTGTGATTATGAAGTGATAGTGACTTGCAGATGGCTTAGTTGGTATTCAAGGGAAGGATTCTGAATTAGAATGGATAGGCTGGTGTTTGATCGTTGATGCATTGTTGAGCATGGAATTTATGCGTTTGGTACTTGAAATATTGCGTCGGTTGGTTAGTATTCAACAGGTGGCCCGTCCGGTGAGGAATTGGACAATATAGTAGTGTCACAGGAGAACCCTGCTGGAGGTTGTCAGGCGTGGAACACGAGTACTTGTACCTTTATTCAAGCGGACGACCCATTTCAAGACATTCCTGGTTTCGGAGATCCTCTGATGGTAAATGGTCATTGGCGATTAATTGCCTGCTTGTTTGCCTGGATTTCAAAGAGTTTGTGGTGAGAAAAGTGTGGCAAGTGGGCTGTGCTTATACCTTGCATGAGCATAAGAATTACATAATCACCAGTTTTGGTCTCCTATGCACGAGATGTTGCCAACGTTGGCCTTGGTGTGTGCAGCATCCACAAGATGACCAATTAAGCGCTCTTTGGGAGAATTATTTTAGCACTTGGCTTACCTGATTATGTTGGAAGCGGGAATAGGATCCAGTCCTGTCTTCTATTACCTTTTAGCGATAGTCGTCTGTGCGTCATAAATTGGAGAGTCAGAAAGAGACACAGTTCGTCTGACAAGTTGAGTCTTTACGTCTATTTTGAACGATAGTTAGTGTGATCTTCCATGGCAACTGGTTCTCTTTTAGAGACTTTTAAGCTTGATGGAACAAACTATCAGACTTGGAAGGTCTGAATAAAATTACTTTTAATGAAAGAGGAAACATGGAGATATGTGGATCCTCACCGAGGGAATCCTCCCCAGCTTGGAGAAGCTCCTAATGTAGCTGTTGAACGAGTCAAGGGTCTTCATTCCATCTTTATTTCAGTAAAAGAAAACGTGTTTTCTAGTGTTCCCAAGTGCATTGATCCCATCGTAGCCTGGACTCTGCTTGCTCAGCTTAACTAGCAGCATAGCAATGCAAGCAAATTGATACTCAAAGATAAGCTTTGCTTCATGCTTTTACCAGAGGGAGCATGAGTTTGAGAGTTTGTTCGCCATATTCAAGAAATCCAGTTTGAGCTCAGAGGACTCGGTGACCCAGTTCTTGATGTTGAGCTAGTAGATCGTATTGTCAATACGCTCCCCCCCAATATGGATAGCGTGTACCAAAACATCCTTGGACTGCATACCATGCCATCCTTCGCTAATCTGGTTGCTCATCTTCTGCAAGCTGAAACCCGCGCACAACTTCGTGGCACGACCACCACCAAGGAGGATGCACTCGCCGTCCACATGCAAAATCTATCTCTTCCTGCCGACGGACATCACGCAGAACACCATGCCAACACCAACCACCGACGTTCCAACAATCCAGGAGGCAGACGTCACAAAAATCTTCAATGTAACTTCTGCAAAGAAGGCAACCACCTCATGCGCACCTGTTCTGAGCTGGCCTGCGAAATAGCCAAAAGTGCTCGGGATCATCGTAACCGTGGTAGATGAGGTGGCAGGGGGTTCCAAAATCACTGATCGAAATTCGACTTGAATCTGATGATCAAGAAATACAGTGACTCTACCCCAACGACACAATCAGATTGAATCAAATTTATTTGACGTCGATCTTTGTAGCATGGATCTAGAACAAGCAGACAAGTGCATAGTTGATAGTGGTGCTGCTAAGCATGTTTCTCGTAGTCGCGAGGTGTTTGCTACCTTAATTCGAGGCACTGGGACTCAGGCCATGCAATCAGCATCTATCCATGTCTTGCCAGTAGAAGAGACCGGCATTTGTACACCTCTCAAATTCAAGTGAAATAATCATGTATAATTTATTTTTTTATATTTATTTTTTGTTTGTTTGTTTGTTAATATATATATATATATATATATATATATATTTTATCTTCTTCTCCTAATTGAATGTAGGCTTATTTTAAAAATTCTTCATATATGAGTCTAAGATTATTTTTGCACCATCTTTGGTTTTATCTTTTTATACAAACATTTATTAAAATTCATGGTTATAAAAAAAAAACAAAACCCTGATTTAGATCACAAGAACTTTGATAAGTCTTTTATCTAAAAATAGTAATTAAACTGTGTAAAAAATTATTCTTCTTTTGCAATAATCATTAATACACATAATAGTATGATTCTTATGAAAAAATAATTAAAATGATATTTTAAGAAAATCATTTTTCGAAAATATTTAAATCAAAAATTAAACTTATTATGTTTATAGATTTAGATATTTATAATTGAATAGTTTTTTCTTCATTTCTTTTGGATTTTTTACATACCTGAATGTAAATTATATTTTAGTCAAGTAGTATCTTATTTTAAAATAAATTCTTAAGAAATCTTTAAAAAATATTATTTGTAAGTGTTTTAAAAATTATTATAAGGTATTAATGAAAATTTGTCAAAATTTAAAGTATTTTTTTCTCTTTAATGATATTAATTAATTTATTTATTTTTATTTTATCTATTATTTAATTTAACATACTCATAAAAATATTTAATTAGATTATAATGCTATTTATAAAACTCTTATTCTAAAAAAAATTCAAACTATAAGATTCTTCTAAAAAAATATTATATATAGTACCAATTTTTTTTTTACTAACAACAAAATTTAACTATGAAATCTATTCATTTACTTACATTCTTAACTAGTTTATATAAAATTAAACTAATTCTTATTTGCATGTTAGAGACATTGAGTTATCACATTGATATTTGATTCTTATATTTTAATCTTTTATCTTATGCCAACTTAGATTTTAATATTTTTTTTTGATATTTTTTAAAAAATAACTACTTTAATTATTTATTTTAAACTTCAAATGTTTGTTTCTTAAATCTAAAACATCTTCTATAGTGTTCCAAAGAATCTTTATATACTTTTAAGACATCATGGAAAATTTTCATTGCAAGTTTATATTGAGATTGTGTTTTAATTACATAGTAGAATAGTACAAAATTATATTACAAATCTAACAAGAATATCCTTTGATTAATATATCCTAAGAAGATGAAATTTTAGGAATACACAATAATAAACCAAGAAAATTTTGCACATTTAAAGTGTTTTGAGGATTAGCTATTGGAAACATTTAGTAGAATTAGAATTTTTTGATATTACTTTATAGAAATAAAAGGAAATATCATTGTTTATTACCATAATACAATAGGGTTTGTGATACAATCTTAAAAGTATTTTTAATTCGTTTGATTCTATTATTTATATTTTCTATTTATTTGTTTAACTTTCTAAAAATTAAATACTTTTTCCTTATTATAGTAGTCATACAAATTTTCTTAATAGTTCTTCATAGTGCTTAGTAGGCATCCAAATCCTTAGCCTTTATATAAATATTTACAAAAACATCTATTTTTATAATAGCTGTCCAGCATGTCCGAAAAAATTGCTCTAAATCATCCAAATAATGTACTGAATTTTAACTACATCTAATTAAATATTTATTTTTATATTTAATATTTACGAATATTGAGTTAATTTTTATCATTCATTCTATAAAAAAAATCGAAAAATGTTAACATTTTCTTGCTATTTCAACATATACTTATCAATTTTTATTTACAGTTCCAAATTCTGTGACCTTTTTGTGGTACTTTCAAAGCAATTTATTGCACGCAATCCAATTTTACATTCTTGATTACCAAAACAATGTAAGTGTTTAATATCATTTCACATGCTACCTTATTTGATTAAATTCAAAATTAATTTAGTAGCACATTTTGAAACTTTGGGTATATACCAGAGACCTGATGCAAAACAAAACTAATATACCAAACTCTCTTGCACATGCAGTCTATTTAAAATTCAGGAAAAGATACTCAAGGAACCCCCACCCATCCTTGGCTCTATGCCCCAGCAGTGAAGGATAGCATTGCAGACCAGGAACGGGTCTTCATTCGGGCAGCAGATATTAACCTACAAGAATTTTACTGTGAGTGTGGATTCAGTATTGGTGATTCCAATATTCCCCCAAGCACAATGCGGAGCCTCACTTTTGTCGGCATGTGTCTAGGTTTGCATTTCTCTTTGTTTTTGCAATTTTTCGACGACACTCGCAAGGTTCGATTTTTGGTGCTCCGTGTCGATGCTAACGCCAACTCATGTCAATTTTGAAGCGTATGCTTTCAAGAGTTCAGTAGCGTCGAGCTGTGCTGCTGTTCGGAGGTTGCGGTGACTGTGTCGAGGTGCAGAGTCGCTAGGTAATGTTGAGACTGAGATATGAATAACCCTGAACAGAATGTGCGTGCGCTCAAACGCTGTTGTGTGCGCTTCAAGGTTCCTGATTTCATAGAGACTAAGTTGTATTCCAGAAAAGTCTGTAAGACAGACGTCGACCTGGAGTTGTTTAAAGACAATGTGAAGATTGTTGAAGACCAGTGCAGACGACTCGTAGGAGGTCGGAGGAACTACTCTCTGAATCATCCGTGTTGCTATCTTGAATGCGAATTACCTGATACTTTGTTTGCGGAGAACAACGGGGAGATAGGACTCGATGAATCAGTGTTGCTGGAACATATACACCGAGAAACGAAAAAGGCAATAAAATCCCACCGAAAACTTCCGGGGAATAAATGTGTGCGCACAGCATCGACACGGCCATTGGAATTCCACCGACAACATCCGGTGAGCTTCAGGACGCTCTCTCAATACGTTGAGTTTTCTGTTTCAATCGTGGAATCAGACCTAGCTACTCGTTCAGGATGATCGGCGGAATGAAGTGCTGCGTACGTTGGTCATTTAGATAATCCAATTTCTCAATCCGAGCAAGTCATGTTCATCACTTCTATTCTTACCCAACTGTTCAGCTACAACATACCATGTCTTGTCGCTTCTTAGGACCAGGTTGCGGAGCCTAAGCGTTCGTCACATGACGCCACTCCGTCAAGGAATGATGCCTCGCAGAAGGGCCCGGTCGCTGGTAAGTCATCATCTCATTGTGCGTCTTGTTCTAGTGGAATCGTGGTTTGTTGTTTGACGAGAAATCGGGTTGTGTCGCATAAAACGTCTCTCGATGCGACTCTGCAACGCGAGTTGCGTCAGAAAACAAAAAATCTACTCGGAGACGATGTGGGGTTGTGTGTTTTTTATAACCCGGTGAAAGTTTTAGGTGGAATCATTCCGAAGTGATGTCAATAACTGTGCCGTCCTTGCAGAATGTTCCGAGGTGTCGCCTCCTAGCCGTGGTAAGGGTGCTGACGATTTTCGAAAGGCTGTGGTTTATCTGAAGGAGTATTCGGATGAACCTGCATTTCGCAACAAACTTGCGGTATGCGAAGAAGAGTACAATGCAATGGAACGCAAGCTGGAAGGTACACATTTATTACGCATTTGGGGATGTGGCGGTATTTCTTGGTTGTGGTGGGATTGAGAGCAATCCAACGTGTGTAGTCGCAGCGCTTTCGCTGCATAGACGCCGCTTTTGACGACGATTCAGCCTCTGCCGTATAAACATCAGGGGACGCCACTCTGCAGTGCGAGTTGTATCAGAGACACAATATTATATTCGAAGACGTCTTGGGGTTGTATCTTGTCTAAGTTGGCGAGATTTTTATGTTAAAAGCATTCAGAGGTGATGTAAGAAACTATTTCGTCCTTTCATTATGATGTTCAGTCATTCCTGCGGAGCGTTTTGAGAAGCCGCCTCCAAGCTGTAGTCAGGATCATCACAAGTTTCGAGGAGCTATGAATGAACTGAAGGATATGGTTGGTGGAAATGTATATCGATATGTACTCGATGCATGCGAAAAAGCGTATTATGCAAAAGCACGCGAGGTGGAAGGTGAGCAGTTGTTACGAACTTGCTTTAGAAAATAAAGTTATACATGTGGAGGTGTGGCGGTATTTCTAAGTTGTGTTGGCTTGAGAGTTCGCGATCCAGTGTATGTAGTCGCAGCGCTTTCGCTGCGCAAACACCGCCTTTGACGAAAATTCAGCTTCTGCCGCATAAACGTCTGGGGGTGCCACTCTGCTATGGGAGTTGAATCAGAAAACCAAAATTCAATGTGATGACGACTAGGGGTAGTGTGTTTCTAATCTGGGAAGAATTTTGTGTAGAATCATTTCGTGTTGATGTTGGAATCTGTGCCGTTCTTCCATTGTAATGATGTGTCATTCCTGCAGATCGTTTCAAGGTGCCGCCTTCTAGCGACACTGAGGATGCTCTCAAGTCACTAGGAAGCGGAGTACAGAAAGTGAAGGAATTGGCGCCGACGATAACACCTGGAAGTCGCGAAAATGTTGAGAGAATGGAAGAAGCGGTGAGTGGAATATCACGCAAGGTGAAAGGTGAGCAGTTGTTACCAACTTGCTTCAGCAAATGTTATGTACGAGTGCGGGTGTGGCGGTATATCTTAGGTGTGATGGATTTGGAAGTTCGCGATCAGATGTCTGCATTCGCTGACGCATTGTTGAAATCCAACTCATACTTTTACTACCCGAAATGTTGAGTTGGTTGTTTTTCATTCACCAGATGACGACGATTCATTTTATGATGAACTTGAGGATATCGAAAAGCTTTTGCCCATTCCATGCTGACTTTTTTCTTTTGCAAATCTGTTGAAGAAAGGAATAAAGAGGTACGGTTTTAGGATTTTGGAAGCATTTGTACATAATCAACTAATCAACGCATCTGGACATTTCTCGGCAACAAGTGTAAGTTTATCCGAATCGCGGATCTGTCCAAACTTGCATCAAGTAGATGTTTACACGCACGCGTCACCAAAATTTGCTGCACTGGAGTTATGATTGGGTTTCAAATTTTGTTTTTGCATGTAACGTTTTCCGATCCGGCGAGACTTTTAAGTAGAATTATTTAGTGGTGATGTCAGAAACTGCGTCGTTCTTTGACGGTAATGTCCTGTCATTCTTGCGGAGTGTTCCGAGAAGCCGCCTCCAAGCCGTGGTCAGGATCCTGACAAGGTTAAAGAGGCCATGGATGAATTGGATTATTTGCTGGCTGAGACTGTACTCCTATATCCACTTGTTGTATGCGATGAAGACAACAAAGCAAAAGCGAACGATGTGGAATGTGGGCAAACAAATGCATTGCCCATTCACTGTGGAAAATGTCAAAAGGGCTATTCCTGTTGACACTGGGTAATTGTCTGCATGGGATCAAATCTTGGATTTAGATCAATGAATAAGTTGTAAATCAACTGGAACATTATCGCTGGAAGAATCAGATGTGCAAGCAAGGTGTGAGATTGAAGCGGCGATCACGGATGAATGTTCACTAAAAGGAGATACAAGATGCTGGCAACAAGTGTGCTGTCGTGGAAGATTAAAGACACGAACGGAGGGAAATAAACTACAACTGTGCAACACCAAGGACATTTAAGGATGAAGTGCTAAACCCTAATATTTACAAAGAGCCTGTGGTTAACATGATAAGACTGCTTTAAACCAGTTATACTTAAATTTAGCTCCAAACAAGGTTTGCATATCCTTTTACTCTATTTTCTATTTATTGTTCTACTTTAATTGATATATATTGTTTCTTATATCAAATTTGGAATAGAGTTTTACAATTGCTTCATGACCATTTCAATGTGACTAAAAAAATCTTCAAGGTTTTCTTGTTTCTTGCAAAATTAGAATTAATCATTTATTTATTTATTTGAGTTTTTACTCTTGCTCATATCTGTACTTATTGATGAGATGTCCTCATAAATTTTTCATTTCATTTTATTTCATCAAGTTTATTTTAGATTTGATTGCAAAATTAGAAGATTATTTTTTTGTCCACTAGGTTTTGGATGGTGTCTTAATTCAACATTGTAATACATAACTTTGCAAAATTTAGCAAAATAGTAGAAAAAAGTTCTTAGAATCTTTAAATTTGTTTGTCAATTCTTGGTATAAAACTAGGTTATATTGAAGCAAGGAGTTATAAATAGTTTTAGCTTGTATTACTTAGTAATAAATTTAAAAAGAATTATTTAATTTTTTTGTATTTGATTTTTTTTCTTAAGAACATGAAAAAGAATGATTTATTCGTCAAGAAAGCTATCATGAATCATAATTAGGTATAACATTATATAAAAAAGAATTCCTATTGATAAGTATATATCAAATTTTATATTTTTTATAAAAAGAACTTATATCAAAATAGAAATTAAGTGATGAATATATGATAATCACAAACATTATGAAAAATTAGACATGATTCTTACATGTATATAATCGAGCAAATTATAAATCTTGGTTTCAAATACCTATATGAAAATTAGAAGCAATGCACATTTGAATCTTCTTAAGACAAAGATGAATCATCATGAATTTTTGAATGAAGAACAACCAATTCAATGATTTAGAATATTGTATGTATCATTTGAATGGTTCTATAGCCTATGGCCAAGTGCAAACATTTGATGGCATATTTTCAAATCCATAATAAAAGAAAATACAAAATAAAAATACTACCACATGTCTCGGACATAATCATGTAAGCTAATAATTATATATAGAAATAGGTAGAAGTAAGTAAAAGTAGGTAAAAGTAAATTAATTCTATAATATTTAATATGGAAGCTTCCTAGAAACTTCCTAGATGCTGCTTTGACTTCATAGGTGTCTTTAATTGACTTTTTGGATTAAAAACGTGGTCAACAAGTTGGCCATGTGCGACACATGTTGTTAGCTTGAAGATCAAGCTAACTATGTGGCCGACACGTAGAAAAACTTGCCTTGTAAGTCAAGGCATGTGCCTTACAAAGTCAACACCTATTGGAGGTCCTATAGAATGTCGCCACGTAGCTCTTAGTTAGATAGTATATATAGAGACAAGAGTGAAGGCTTCTTCATTCTTGTCAACTCCTTTCTTGCTTCTAGTCTAGTTTCAAGGGTCTCTAGTTTTCTTGTCTTTTGGCAATAGCCATTCCAGTTTCTCTTTCAATATATATACTTGTTTATATATATTTTGTTACCTTTCTTTGAGTGAATGCTCACTTGTTTGAATTGTTTTTTCATCGAGTTCTTGTCCTTGACACCACATCTATAATTGTCCAATATATTTGCTGAGGCAAGTTCTTGATGACTACTCACCTTTCACTATTATATTGCATGCTTTGACAAGTATGTCTACTGTTATGCAACTATCCAATGTTAGAGCCATTGCCATTTTCTTCACATCATGTAAACTTCTCAACATCTTGCAACAATCTTTACAAGGAATAGAAGGCATATCTACTCAAGTATTCAGGGCCTTCTTCAATATTTCAACATTATCGCAATTTTTTGGTGTTGGTGTTGGAGCCATCACCATTTTCTTCAAATCATGTGTGCATCTCAAGATCTTACTATGATCCGCACATGTGATAGAAGGTGATACCATGGAAGAATTTGTCATACTTAAAGAACATTAATATGCATTTATAATACGGTTCCTGATATCACAATGTACTAATTCTACACCAAAATCTTTCTGGATTAGAAAACATATAATCATTAATCGTCTAAATATCAAATTTTAGATTTCTCATATTATTTGCCTTGTAGAATAAAATTCACTAATGTTTATGTAGCAAAAACTGACTTATTACTTCAATTACATATAATACATCTAGAACTCTTCAATCCACTTCAACTAAAAAATATCTCCACCCTTCTATCTTCTTACAAAAGTAACTATTATTAACACACTTTTTTACTTGAATAATTACCTATATGATTAGATAAAGGTAAATAAAAATAGATTAATTTTATAATATCCTCTAGAGAGCTTTATAGATACAACTTTGACTTTATAAATATTTGGAGCTGATTAATAGGTGAGAAACTTGGTCAATAAGTTAGCCACATGTCACACGTGTTAGTAGCTTATAGAACAAGCTAACTATATGGCCCACATATAGAAAACTTACCTTGCAAGTTAAATCATGTATCTTATGAAGTCAACATATGTTTGGAAGTTCTATAGAACATTATTATGTAGCTTTTAAACAGATAGTATATATGGAGGGAAGAATCAAGGCTTCTTTATTCTTATCAAAGCCTTTCTAGTCCTTAGTCTTGTTCCAAGACTTTCTAGTCTTTTTGTCTTTGGTAATAGCCATTCTAGTTTAACATAACACCATCTTTGAGTATTTTTTTAGTATTTTTAAATGATACAAGAGTGTATTAAAATTTTCTTTCTTCAAGATTCATATCCTTGATAGTTTGAAAAGAATATTAATTCATTATTTTTATATTATTTTAGAAATGATTGCATTATTTCACTTCTATTGTTGAGTTTTGAGGATTGTAGGCTATTCACCTTTAAACAAATAATTTAATTTTTTAACACTATTTTTTTCTTTAAAGAAAGTAAACTATCTTTATTTAAATAAATTTTTATTTGATATTAGAGGTTGTTGATTATCTTCTTTTAATTTACCTTATGAGTTTTTTAAGTTACTTGAAATAGAAGGAAAAATCATAAATACTATATTTAGCAGATATGAGAATAGATTTATAACTATTGCAAATCTTCACAAACTTGTTAATATTTTTAGGTTGGAAATTTTATGCGTTACCAATACTAATTCCAGAAATACTATTTCTATGCCTATGAAAGAAGTCTAGAGTTTGTATCAAGAATTTGTTTAGTTGAGCAAAGAAAGTAGATCAATATTTTAACTAAATCTAAGAGGTCTTGTTTCTACAAGTATAATAGGTACAAAGATTAATATATCTTAGAAGATTAATGGAACAAGATCAAAATTTCAAGGATTTATATAATAAGTTCAATATATCTAAGGTTATATCCTATCCAATACTTTGATGGATTTACTCAAATTGAATTTATAGGCACTTTTTTATTTTGAAGCACTCTTTCTTAATTTGCACCTTTGAAAAAAAAGGATTTACAATTCTTTTATTATTTGAATTCATTCCTAGGAGTGTTAAGGTCACATTTGAAGAAAGTAATTAAAAAAGAATAAGAGAGTTCAAGCTCTTATTTTTATGACAAAGAATATGGTCATCCACCTTATATGCTACTAAATTTCAAAACCTCACTTACAACACAAGCTGGAATGAGAAAGCCATTATGAATTAATTTTGATATGGATTAAAAGATAATATCAAAGATTTATTATTTATAATCTCAAAATTAAATTCTTTAGAATAATTTATTGCTAAAGCCATTGCATGTAACAATCAATTATTTGAAGGGCATCAAGAATAAAGTTTTGATTGAAGTAGGACAAGTTAACTAATGACAGCAATTTCTAAGTTTTCAGACATTTATTTGCTAAGGTCATAACCAATTGTGAGCCCAAATTTCACCACTCATTGAAATTGATGCTATACAACAAGTTCAAGAGGTAGCATAGAAGAACTCTCAATTATGTAATTGCTAAGTTGATTTAAATCTTAGTGTTAATAATTCACTTAACTTTAAGCCTTCCAAGCAATGGTTACCAATATAAGTAAAAAAAAAAAAGATTTAATAAGATTACTATGATCTTGAAGGCTATTTGCATGATCCCTACTTCAATCTCAATAGGTTGTTTAAGAGCATTTATATAACCTTTAATCACTAATTTTTATATGATTATAAAAGTATAATTAATTAGAATAAATAAATAATTAATTAATAAAAACTTATAAATTATTATTCCTCAAATAACTAATGGTGAAATTAATTGATCAAATTATTATCATTAATCCATGGAAAAAGTAAAAACCTTGAAGGTTTAATTAAAATTTAAAATTTAAAATAAAATTTAAAAGTTAAATTTAAAAGTTAAATTAAAAAATAAAAGTTAAAAGTCAAAAGTCAAAGTTAAAAAAGATTAAAGGTTAAAAGTCAAAAATTAAAATTTAAAATTTGAAATATGAACTTTAAGAATTATTTTTAAAATAAAAGTAAAAGTGGGACTAAAGAAAAATAGAAGCAAAAATACCTTGATAATGCCCTAGAATTAAAGGCAACAAATCCTTTTCTACTCCAAAATTTTCCAAAATTTGTGATTAACTCCAAATTGAATGATTTTTAGTTTATTTAAAGGAGAGGGAGCTGATCTTATTTTCTTCACTCCATGGAGTGAATCTAGTACCACCATTGCATTAAAAAGGCTTCCATTAATTAGAAGAACCACCACGCCACTTGAATTTGTTGAATTTGGAGGAAATTTCAAAACTGTCATTGCTAAACTTTTTTAAAACTTTTAGAAAATTATAATTCTAATTCACTCTAAATCATGTGAAATTATTATAGGAGAAATCATGGGCTTTTAGTCAACCTTTATAGTAGTGACTAACAACCTCTAAATTATTAAGATTAACTAAGTTGCTATTTTAATTTTCTAACTCTTATCACTTTGGTCTTAATTAATCTAACTGAAGAAATTAGATTATAATTTATACCATCAAAGGTTGCAATCCTAAAAATTCTATAAAACTAAATTCTACTTGTATAAATCCTAATCTAACATGCTCAATTATAATAAAATAATAAAATAACAAAAATTTAAATTTTAGAGCTTAATTGAGAGCTCATACCAATGTAAATTAATATGATACATTTTAAACATTTTACTAAGCAAGAAAAGACTTGACGTCAGT